CCCCCCTCACCGGTGCATATTGTTTTTCAATTAAAGTGTGCCCCTCGACGCTCGCTCCCTGTTTTTTGTCAGGGAAAGTCTTGGTGCTCAATCTGTACCCCTGACCCCCCGGATTACAACAACAACGGCTCCCGCTTGGGATTTCTTCCAAATTTATTCAGGACCCCCGTCCTGATGCTTCCTCACAATTTACTCAGGATCGGTGCTCCCGCCTGTGACTTCCTTTCAATTTAGTTAGGACCCCCGCTCCCCATCCGAGACTTCTTCATAATTTACTCAGGAACGGCGCTCCCGCTTGAGACTTCCTCGCAATTGAATCAAGACTTCTTCGCAATTTTATCAAGACCCCCGCTCCCGCCAGAGAACCATTCACATGTTTTTCAGGAATTGCGCTCTTGCCTGTGACTTCCATGCAATTTATTAAGAAGTCGCGCTTTCGGCGCTCAGGAAACACGCTGCGCCACAGACGCCGTTACAATTTACTTAGTAATCGCGCTCTCGCCATACTCAGGCATCCCGCTTGACTGTCCCACCCGCCCGACCCGCCCGTCAGGGGATCGCCCGCCCGTCGTGGGCTCCCGCCCGAGACTTCCTTCAGGAACGGCGCTTTTGCCTAGGACTTCCTCGAACGTTCACGCTCTTACCTTCCTGCTCGTCCTCCCTCTCCCTCCTCCCTCCTTCCTCTCCTCCCTTCTCTCTCCCTCGTCTCTTCCCTCATCCTTATGCCTCTCCGCCCTATCCCCTCTTCCTCCTCTCCCTCCTCCCTTCTCCCTTCCCTCTCCTGCCTCCTCCCTCCCTTTTTTTTGTTCTCTCTCTCTCTCTATCCTTTTTTTTTTTTTTCTCTCTCTATCTCTCTCTTTCGTTACATCTCTTATCTGTCTTTCTCTTTCTCTCTCTCTCTATGCCTCTAATCAACCGCCCCCCTCTTCGCTCCTTCTCTCCTGGCGTTTTCCCTCTTCCTTCGTCCCTCCCCCTCCCTTCCTCCCACTGTCCCTCATTCTCACCCTCTTTTTGCAGGGCCCACACCAATTCCAATGGCGGGCACATGTATGCTCACGAAGGATTGTCCGCCCGTTCAGGTTTGCTCGCCTGTCGAAGCCCGCCGCCCCCCGCAAAGGGAAACAACAATCCGTTCAACGGGGGTGTCATCGAAGACAAAAAAGGCGGGTATCGAGGGTGTGGGGAACTCGTTTTGAATGACACGCGGGCAAGTAAGAGCGAACAGTCTTAGACTGATTGTTGTTGTTGTTGCTGCTGCTGCTGCTGCAGTTGTTGTTGAACTCCCACTTCTGAATAATAATTCTTGTTGATCCCCCCCGTCCGGTGCACATTGCTTTTCTCGATTGAAGTGCCCTTCCTGGGGCTCGCGCCCTGTTTTTTTGCAGGGAAAGTCTTGAGGGTCAAATCGTGTCGTTGGCCCCCGGTGTAGAATAACAGCGGCTCCCGCCTGAGGCTTCCTCACAATTAACCAGGACCACCGCTCCCGCCCGAGAGTTCCTCGCGTTTCAGTCAGGAATCGCGCTCTCGCTTGGGACGTCCTTCGATTTTTTTCTCTTGGCGCTTTGGAGTCGCGCTCTCGCAGGAGACTTGCTTGCAATTTACTGAAGAATAGCACCCTTGCGTTGGAATTTCTTGCAATTTACCCAAGCGCCGCGCTCCCGACACCCAGGCACCCAGGAGTCGCGCTCACGCGTAGGACTCCCTCTCAGATTACATAGGAACCGGGATCTCGCTGCCCTCCGTGGCCCCGTCGCAGCCTTTCGTGGCCCCCTCGCTTTGTTTCGTGGCCCCGTTGCAGCCCTTCGTGGCCACCTCGCTGCCCTTCGTGGCTCCGTTGCAGGCCTTCGTGGCCCCCTCGCTGCCCGTCGTGGCCCCGTCGCAGCCCTGCGTGGCCCCTCTGCAGCCCTTCGTGGCCCCGTTGCTGCCCTTCGTGGCCCCGTTGCATCCCTTCGTGGCCCCCTCGCTGCCCTTCGTGGCCCCGTACATGTATGCCCTTCGTGGCCCCCGCTCGTTCGCGCCCGTGGTGGCCCTATATGCATATGTCCTACGTGGCCTAGTTGCTACCCTCAGTGGCCCCATCATTGTTTTCTGTGGCCCCGCATTATCTGCCCTTCGTGGCCCCCGCTCGTTCGCGCTCTTCGTGGCCCCATACGCATTCCGTTCGCGTCCCCGCTGTTGCCCTTCGTGGCCTACTTCGTGTCCTTGTGGCCCTGCTGTCGTTCTCTTTCGCTCTCGTTTTCGCTCGTCGCCGTCATCGTCGACGTCGTCGTCGTCGCCGTCGTCCTCGACGTCGTCGGCGTCGGCGTCGTCGTCGTGGTCGGTCCCCTGTCCGTCCCTCTTTGGGTCGGGTCGACGGTCCGCGGCCGCCCCGCCGATCAGCGCTGCCGCTGGCCAGGCCTACGGTGTGCGGCCGCCCCGCCGCTTGCCGGGGCCCGGCCTGCAGGGAAGAAAGGTATACCCCACCAAAAAGGGTTCGATCGAAGACGAAAGGGGCGGGTATCGAGGGTTTGGGAAATTTGGCGTGATTGGACACTCGATCAGAGAAGGGCGAACAGTCTTAAAATGATGATTGTTGTTGTTGAACATTATTTATTCTAAAGAATAATTATTGTTGGGCCCCCTGGTGCGCGCCCCCCCTGCGCCGCCTAGGCCGCAGCTACATTTTCATCATTTTCGTGAGGAAGCCTCAGAAAAGAGGGTGTGTACAGGATCCGGTTGTTTTGTTGTAATCCGCTTTCCCTTGCAAAAAACAATAGAAAATTACATTTCTTGTTCTAATATAATCAAATTTCAAGAATCCCTTGCAAAAAATAAGGTAAAGTGGACATTCGCGCGCGCAAGACGAAATCCTTCCAAAACCTTAGTGTTCGCAGCGATTTTAACATAAAAACATCAAAAAACCAATGGTTTTTCAACAAAAAATTGTCAAAATCTCATCCCGCGCGCTCTTGCGGATTCGTAGGAAACCCAACACTTTTTAAACATTTCTGTCAAACGGGCTTTTGCGAGCAACTTTTTCGAACTTCTGCGACAACGGTTGCGCACCTGCCAGGGCCATCATCCCTGTCAAATAATACCATGCGGGACACATTCGTTTTTTCTTCGCGCGCGCACGCCGTCGTCGTCGGCCGCGGGGCCCTGAATAGTAGCCACGGTCGTCCGCATGCCACGAAGTGAAGTGTCCGAACGTCATAGGGCGGGAAGCTGGGTGTGGGTGGTGGCGAAGAGTCGTTTGGAAATTTGGTAGAGCTTGAACCGGCCCCCCCACAAAGTGGGGGTATTGCCCGCCTCCTATGAAAACCCTGGCACTGGTGAGAACGGAGTGTCCCCAGTCTTAAATGATTGTTGTTGTTGTTGTTGTTGTTGTTGTTGTTGCTGCTGCTGCTGCTGCTGCTGCTGCTGCTGCTGTTGCTGTTGTTGTTGTTGTTGTTGTTGTTGTTGTTGTTGTTTGGCGATGTCCCCTTCGCGACCCTGCCCGCGACCCACCGGCGACCCACCCCGCGACCCGCCCGCGACCCACCGGCGACCTACCCGCGACCCACCCGCGACCCGCCCGCGACCCACCCGCGACCCACCCCGCGATTCGCGCGCGACCTACCCGCGACCCACCCGCGACCCACCCGCGACCCGGCCCGCGACCCACCCGCGACACACCCGCGACCCGCCCGCGACCCGCCCGCGACCCACCGGCGACCCACTCGCGACCCACCCCGCGACCCAGCCGCATTTTTTCAAACGAAGAATCGGCGCCTGCGGCGGGCTTCTCCAGAGCCAGGCAGGCTGCAGACCTCCCCGCCTGCGGCTTCGGGGAGCTACGTCTTGAGTCTCAGAATTGTGTTGTTGACCCTTGGTTACTTGCTTGACTCTTCCTCACAATGTATTGAATGATCGCGCTCTCGCGCGGGACTTCTGTACAATTTATGCGGGAATCGCGCTCCCGCGTGGGACTTTCCTCGCAATTAATCAGACGATGCGCCCTCGGCGCTTAGGAATCACGTTCTCGCTTTGGCCTTTCTCAGGATTTACGTAGGAATCGCGCTATCGCTCGAGACTTCCTCGCAATTCATGCAGGACCCACGCTTTAGCACCCCGCCTGCTCGACCTGGTCGCTTCCGCCCGCCTTCCGACCCGCCCGCTATGGGTCTGCCCACCCGATGTGCCCGTCTGGTTCTACCATTTGTTTTCTGCTCCTTGCCCCTACCCTGCTAATTTCTCTCGAGTTTCATCCTTCTCCCTCCCGCTTCCACCCGTCCTCACTTCCCCTGTTTCAGGGGCTGCGCTAAATGCACGTGGCAGGGAAGGAAGAGATACCCCCAAGGAGTACGATCGAAGACGACGAGGGCAGGTACCGAGGGCTTGGGATATACGTTTTGGATGGCACGTGGCCAGATAGGAGCGACCAGTCTTAACATTGTTGTTGTTGTTGTTGTTGTAGTTGCCGTTGTTGATGCTGTTGATGATGATGCTGATGATGATGATACTGCTGCTGCTGCTGCTGATGCTTATGATGGGGTGATGATGATCAGGATGAGGATGAGGATAGTGATGAGGGTGAGGATGAGGATGATGATGCTGATGATGATGATGATGATGCGCATCCTGATGCTGATGCTGGATGAGTCTGATGCTGGTGCTGATGCTGATGATGAGGATGAGGATGAGGATGGTGCTGCTGCTGCTCATGCTGATCTTGCTGCTGATGATGATGCTGATGATGATGATGATGATGATGATGATGATGATAACTGTGATGAGACGGAGGAGGAGGACGAGGAGGAGGAGAAGCAGAAGCAGGAAGGGACCGACGATTGGGAGGAGGCAGGATTGAGGAGCGAGGGAGGTTGTAGGATAGATGTGGGATGACCCAGCACACATGGGTAGGAGGAGGCGAAGATGAGCAGGAGGAGGTTGATGCTTTCGGCATGGTGCAGCTGGCTGCGGAGGGCGCGTCGCTAGAGCGCTCGAGAAACCCGCCGGAGGCTTCTAGTACCTTTCCGCAGCGATTTTGGTTTTGGCCACCCAGAAGCCAAGGACCGTGCGGTCTTCCTGACTATTCGCAAGTCGTCGGTCAAGCCGCCGCCTTCGGTGCAATGGCGGACCAGCTCACCGAGGAGCAGATCGCCGAGTTCAAGGAGGCGTTCTCCCTATTCGACAAGGACGCAGGGCTGGACCCAAACGGTGTTTTTGGCGATTTCGTGGGCCGTTTTCGTTTTGACTTCGTTTTGCGGTAAAGGCGGATTGGAGACAAAAGCGAGGGATAACGAAAACAACGAAAACGAAACACACCGTTGAGGTTCAGCCCTGCAAGGACGGGGACGGCACCATCACCACCAAGGAGCTGGGCACCGTGATGCGCTCTCTGGGGCAGAACCCCACCGAGGCCGAGCTACAGGACATGATCAACGAGGTGGACGCGGACGGTAACGGTACGATCGATTTCCCCGAGTTCTTGTCCCTGATGGCGCGCAAGATGAAGGACACGGACACCGAGGAGGAGCTGATCGAGGCCTTCAAGGTGTTCGACCGCGACGGCAATGGCTTCATCAGTGCTGCAGAGCTGCGCCACGTGATCCAACGGGCTTTGCCGTCAGACGCCCCCGCCTCTCATAGATTTGTGGCCCAGGGAGGGCAGTCGGGTTGAAATAATTATTTGGATTTCTGGAGACAAATGAACTTGATAATTCTATGGCAGTGTTGGGACATCATCTTGGAATGTTCTTTGCGGCAGCTCGAGGCCTCCGTTGCCATCCTGGGCCATCTAGGATGATCCGCGTGTTGCCTTGGGGCTACTTGGAGCCATCGTGGGGCCTTGTCGGGATCTGCGGGGCATCTCGGACCTATCAGAGTCATATTTGCGATTTCGGGTTACGTGTCTGGGGATTGTTTTTTGGAAGGACATCTGCAACGACAACACATCTATAGTCGGAGGTCCGTGCGGATTTCTTGGGCCGTCGCTGGCCCCCCTCACCACAACCTGACGGCGCCTCGGGTCCCGCCTTAGGGGAAGTGGCGTGGGGAAGGGGGTCCGTGCCGACCGAAGAAGTCTGCACAGACCTCCAAATCATTCTATGCTCGCATCACTTTGTTCTCTTTTACGCAGGGCTGCTCGGGGCCATCTGGAGGCCTCGTCGTCGGGCCCCCCTGTGCGATCTTTGGGTCATCTCTGGGCCCCTTGGGGCCCTCTCGGGCCATCTTGTGGTCACATTGCTTCTGGGGACCCTCCTTGGACGTCTTTGCGGCCTCATGGAAACTGTGAGCAAACATCAAACAAGAGGCGGAGGAGGAGGAGGAGGAGGATACTGATAATGATGATGATGCTGATGATGATGATGCTGATGATGATACTATTGATGATGATGATGGTGATGGTGATGATGATGATGATGCTAATGCTGATGATGATCTGATGGTGATGAGGAGGAGGACGAGGAGGAGGAGGAGGACTGGGGAGGAGGACTGGGGATGATGATGATGATGATGATGATGATGATGATGATGATGATGATGATGATGATGATGATGATGATGATGATGCTTTTGCTGCTGCTGCTGATGATGATGATGATGATGATGATGATGATGATGATGATGATGAGGATGAGGATGAGGATGAGGAGGAGGGGGATGAGGAGGAGGATGAGGAGGACCTCCAAGGCCCTTGCATCCTTATCGCGCATCCTTATGGCATGGGTTGACTGTAGTGCGATGGGAAGTCAGCTCAGCTCTTCGCGGCCTGGTGCCCCTGCGAGGGGGCCAGCGGTTGACCAACCTCGGCGAGAAGCTCACCGACGAGGAAGTCGACGAGATGATCCGCGAGGCCGACGTCGACGGTGACGGCCAGATCAACTACGAGGAGTTTGTCAAGATGATGATGGCCAAGTGAGCGGGGGGTGCCCGACGTTCGCAGCGGGCCCGCCGACCCGCGCGGTCTGAGGAGGAGGGGGGTTGTAGGATAATGATGGACGGAGGGCGGGGTGATGAGGAATGAGGGGCAGGAGGAAGAGGCGGAGGAGGATGATCGAGGAGGCAATGGTGTTGATGGTGATCTTGGTCATGATGAGCAGGATGAAGACGAACATCGTAGTAACAATTATAAGCATGATGCGATGATGATGCTGCTGCCGAGGATGAGGATGATGATGACTATGATATGTTAATCACGCTGCTGATGATCAGTATTGCCATGTGGGAAGCAGCAGGACGAGGGTACGGAGTGAGGATCAGCTGGATGATAAGGAGAAGGTGGAGGCAGGAGGTGGAGAGGAAAGGGAAGGCGAGGATCATGATGATGACTAGGAGGAGTTGGAGAAGCAGGAGTAGGTGGTGTGAGGAGGGGGTTGGTAGGATGCAGGAGGGAGGACAAGCGGAAGCGCAGTCAATATGATTGCCCGGGCACTATCAATATGACCGCCCGGCCCGAGCACGGTGCTTCAGTTCAGATCATGGATTGCCTTGCCACGTTGTCTCCGCTCCAAGGGGCAACAAAAGGGAGTGTTCTGATTGTTAGGGGGTGTGGGGGGAGGGGGGAGGAAGCGGGGAGGAGGAAGCAGGGAGCATCATAGGGTTCACGACATCGTTTTTAGGGTGAGGGGGAAGGCGGAAGAGGACGAGGGACGGGAGGATGAAGCAAGGCATTAGAGCGGAGAGGATGCAGGATGGAGGAAGGAAAGGATGGAGAGGAGAAGGAAGGAGCACGGTCATGGAAACGAGTCAACCTTGGTTCGTAACGAACGCATGAGGTCCGCACCAGCGAAGTGTTGCTGTTTTCCGCGAGGCCACCTCTGCTCGTCGAGGGGCAAGTGGTGGCGTTGATACCCTGCCCCGCGAGGCGGACCGACCACTCTCCAGCCAACACCCAGCCAGAGGCGATGAGGAAGGCGGAAGCCAATAACGAAATGGGCACAGCGAGCGGGGGCCAATCTCTGGGCGCAGCGAGCGGGAGCGAAAGGGCACAGACGGGGCCGTGCAAAGTGGGTACGGAAACAGTGGGTCCAAAGTCCAACAGCAGTTCCTGTTCATCCTGGACAGGATTCGCTGTCGGCGACACCCGCGGGTGTCGTCGATCTGAGGCAGCGGGTCGCCTGCCCGACAGCGGCCGCCGTCGGTGTTGGACAACGGTTGTTGGTGGGCATCTTACCCATTTTGCCCTTACCCATTTCGAGCGTCCAGAACGGAGCGGGGGCAAAGAGAGCAGATCTTCATTCTCCGGGCGGCCCGCGCGAGGGCCGCCCTCGCACGCAGAGGCGGCAGCCAGGGGTGTCGGGATCTGAGCCGCGGCGGCGAGGCCGCCCTAGCACCCGAGGACGGGGCCCCAGGAGTCAGCGAGCGCGTTCCACTGCTCGCAGAGAGCCTACTCGCAGACGCCTGCCTCGAGGTAGTGGATCGCGAATCCCCCTCCTATCTTCTCCTCCTCCTCCTCCTCCTCGTCCCCCTCCCCCTCCTCCTCCTCCTCCTCCCTCCTCCTCCTCCTCCTCCTCTCCTCTCTCCTCCTCCTCCTCCTCCTCCTCCCCGCAGTTACTCTGCGAGCAGTGGAACGCGCTGGTCGAAGGAGGGCGGCCGCGGAGCCGGGCGCAGGAGGCAGGGGCGAGAGCGGGCCCCTTATCCTATCCGACGGCAAGCTGGAGCGAGTGGGCACGGGAGAGGAGGAAGGGTTGAGGCGGAGGAGGATATGCACCAGTCGTGCTCCGGCCCGTGTTTACCTCCTCTCCAGGCGCAGTTCTCGTGCCTGTGGGAGTCCAGGCAGCGCGCGCTGGAGGAGACAATGCCCATGGGACGTCCGGGGAGTGGGCTGAAGCTCACGCGATCCTTGGACAGGATATCTTGCACGTCCACACGCCGGGAAACTTAGTGGGCAGCGTGGTTGTCAATTCTGCTGTTAATCTACCGTTTCCAGCAACCAACTATATGATGTTTCTCCTGGCAGCACGAGGACCAGGATGAATAGCAGGAGATAGGACAAGGAGGGATCCTGGAGGAGGGAGGGAGGATGACGGGACAGTTCCCCCTTTCTCCCCCCTTCTGCGTGATCTGCCACTCCTCCCTTCATCCCATCTCTCCTCTTCGTCTTTCCCCTTCATCCTTCCCCCTTCTCCTCCCCCTTCTCCTTCCTCATCCTCCCCGCCCCCAGCGAGAGACGAGCGACGACGACGACGGGGACGAGGACGACAACGACGACGACGACGACGGCGACGACGATGAGCGACGACGACAACGACGACGACGAGGACGGCGACGACGACGTGGACGAGGACGAGGAGGACGACCTCGAGGTCGACGACGACGACGACAAGTGACGACGACGACGACGACGAGCTACGACGACGATCGACGACGAGCTACGACGACGACGAGCGACGACGACGACGACGATTGACGACGACGACGACAACGACGACCACGATTGATGACGACGAGTGACGACGACGTCGACAACGACGAGTCGATGGCGGCGAGTGGCGATCGGCGAGTGACGAAAAAACTGTTCCCTCCGACGATGACCACGGCGGCGACGATGATGACGATGTGATCGGCGGCCGCAGCGGCGACGACCACTCCGGTCGACGGCGAGGGACGCCGGCTACAATCGACGAGCGACGACGATGTTGACGACGCCGACGCCGACGACCAGCGCCGAGCGACGTCGCCGACGTCGCTGACGAGCGGCGAGCGACAACGGCAGGCGGCGCCGACGAGTGACGAGCGGGAGCGACGACGAGCGACGACGAGCGACGACGAGCGACGACGAGCGACGACGAGCGGCGGCCGCGCCCGGCAGGTCGCCGCGGAGTGCGCGCCTCCCTCGGCGCTGTCCGCCTCCTCCTCGGCGCCGGCCTCCGCGGCCCCGCGGGGTTCCCCGCCGGAGCCCCCCGCGGCCGCCCCGAGGCCCGGCCAGGGGAGGGCCGATAGGATCCCCGGGACGTGTGTTGGCCCAGTGCGGGTTCGCCCCGCCCTCCTCCTCCATCTCCTCCTCCTCCTCCTCCTCCTCCTCCTCCTCCTCCATCTCCTCCTCCTCCTCCTCCTCCATCTCCTCCTCCTCCTCCTCCTTCTCCTCCATCTCCTCCTCCTCCTCCTCCTCCTCCTCCGCCTCCGCCTCTGCCTCCGCCTCCTCCTCTTCCTCCTCCTCCGCCCAGCTCCACCGATTGATCATCACATCGCCTACGTCGTATCGAGGGGTCCCGATGGACAGCTGCACGCTGGCGCCACGACACGTCCTGGGGATCGTCGAGAGGGGGGACGTCCATGGCATCCGGCGGCTCGTCGGAAATGGAGGCGGCTCCGGCCTCTAGAGGCGGCCTTTTCGGGCTGCGAGCCATCAGCACATCGACCCACGACGGTTGCGAATCGAAAGATGGTATGTTGCGGCTTCGACGAGCCAGACTACCATACATTTCGGCAACCAATGATTAACATTGCTTTGCATTGCTTTGCATTGCTCCGTATTGCTTTACACTGCTTTGCACTGCTTTGTATTGTTCACTGCTTTGCTTTTCTTTGCATTGCTTCGCATTGCTTTGCACTGCTTTAAACTGCTTTGCACTGCTTTGCATTTCTTTGCATTTCTTTGCATTGCTTTTCATTGCTTTGCACCGCTTTGCATTTCGTCGCATTGCTTTGCATTGCTTTTGCATTGCTTTTGCATTGCTTTGCATTGCTTTGCATTGCTTTGCATTGCTTTGCATTGCACTGCATTGCTTTGCATTTGCATTGCTTAGTAGTGCTCAGCATTGCTTTGCGTTGCATTGATTTGCATTGATTTGCTTGCTTTGTATGGATCTGCATTGCATTGCTTTGAATTGCTTTGCATTGCTTTGCACTGCTTTGTATGGTTCATTGCTTTGCACTACTTTGCATTGCTTTGCATTGCTTTTCGCTGCTTTGCGCTGCTTTTCACTGCTTTACACTGCTTTACATTGTTTCGCATTGCTTTGCATTGCTTTGCACTACTTCGCATTGCGTCGCATTGCTTTGCATGGCTTCGCATTGCTTTGCATTGCTCTGTAATGCTCCGCATTGCTTTGCATTGCTTGCATTGCGTTGCATTGCTTTGCATTGATTTGCATTGCTTGGCATTGCTTTGCATTGCTTGCATTGTTTTGCACTGCGTTGTAGTGTTCCATTGCTTTGCACTGCTTCGCATTGCGTTGCACTGCTTTTCGCTGTTTTGCGCTGCTTTACATTGCTTTGCATTGCTTTGCATTGCTTTGCATTGCTTTGCATTGCTTTGCATTGCTTTGCACTGTTTTTTCGTTTTTCGTTTCTTTGTATTGCTTTGCATTGCTTTGCATTGCGTCGCATTGCTTTGCATTGCTTTGCATGGCGTCGCATTGCTTTGCGTCGCTTTGCATTGCTTTGCATTTCTTTGCATTGCATTGCTTTGCGTTGCATTGCTTTGCATTTCTTTGCATTGCTTTGTAGTGCTCAGCATTGCTTTGCGTTGTCTGCATTGCTTTGCATTGCTTTGTGTGGCTTTGCGTGGCTTTGCATTGGTTTGCGTGTAGTCGTTGCTTTGCATTGCTTTGCATTGCTCATTGCTTTGCATTGCTTTGCCTTGCATTGTAATGCATCGCATTTATTTGCTTTGCTCTGCATTGCTTTGAAATGCATTGCTTTGCGTTGCATTGCTTTGCGCTGCTTTGGATTGCACCACGTGGATTGCACCGTCTAGGTTGCACTACAGTGATTGCACCACCTAGATTGCACCGCATAGATTGCAAGGAATCACTTTTTAGGGCCCCCGGTGCCCCAACATTGGATGATACATCGGGCTTTGGCTTCGGACTCAGTTGTAATTAATCCAGGAATCGCGCTCTCGACGAGTCGCTCTCCGGGCGCTCTGGAATCGCGCTCTTGCGCGGGATTTCCCCACCATTCACTCAGGAACCG